TCCCCGAAGAAAGCTCGGTATCATGATATTTGTCATATGTTTTTGAACAGAAAACAGCGATTTAGGACAAGATGAACGGATGAAATAAAAAACAATAATGTCCTTCGCAGAATGTCCTTGCATAATCAAGACTTGGCAATTACGAGGCCAAGGCGGTGTTCAAACTTCTACACTGATAACGTCAAACTTTCGAAATTTGCCAATGCCGCTGTCAAACTACGTTACACAAGAAACGGTTTGATGGAACAAGAAATTTCAGTTGGTTACACCCTGATGCAGTACATCAGCTGCAAATTGTCGCGTAACCTTCAGAAAGACTTGCTACTTGCAGTGCGATGCACAAGACTTATAAAACAGTGTAACAGATGCATCTAAGCGACAAAATATAGCCCTAGTGTTCTAGAGCAACTACCACATCGTAACTTTCCAATTAGGCCAGTAATCGTAATATTTCAGTTTCTGAAACCGGATATATTCTGCGTAAGCAAACTGACCCTTGCATCTAGTCGCCTAGGGAACCACTACCCCTAGGGACCCCCCAGACATGGAGCATGGTACTTGAACACCTGCAGTGACTGCGTCCGAGGAGACAAAAAGCAACGAGGCGGTGCGTTTACTTCCAGTAACTCACGTATCATAAATCGTAATTTCATGATTACCGACGGAATTAGTAGGTTACTAAGCGGCGTCGACCCAAGAATACAAGTTATATTTTGTCTATATTTACCTACGGACAGAGGTAGACTCAACAGGCTTTAGAATGCCTCTTGTTCAGTCCAACTCAATGATGTGTTCCTGCATCCAACACACTGCAAGTGCATAAATACTACGTAGCAATACAACGCTCAAATGGTTCCATCAAGCGAACAGAAGCAAATGGCGGTGTGCTAATGGTGAATAAATCCAGCATCAGAAATTTAAATGAGATGAAAGTCATCTAATAATAGCTTGTTTTTAATCCAACTCATGTCCCATCGTATCGGATTTCTCAGCAAAATTACTCAAAACAGTACTACAGCACTACCACTGACAACAGCTCGGGAACACTGGAACGGGTCTCTGCGAAAAACAGTCTGCAATCCATAACCAAAACAAATCAGACCTACGCAAGATTTAAAAATGCAATTCTGCTGAATTTACTAGTGGCAAATAGTGTCAGAAACTCTTGGAAACCTTATTTAGGCAGACCTGCTTGCGGAAAGGAATATGACTTTTGTTGTAGAAGTGAACTTTGCTAAAACAAATCTCAACTGCCAGTTCTGTCAGACATCGTAAATCCGGGTTACTTTGATGCTTAAGCTTTGTTAATCTCAAGTGATGATAAACCAACAAATCTTAACAGATAACAGCTATTGTCGTTACACTGAACGTACAAAGTAACAATGCAAATATACGTACTGCTAAGCATTTCGCGAAATTTTCCAATTTCATCGGTAGGTTCCACTTCGTCGTCAAACAGTTCAGCCTCAACGCCCGAAAATACGGGTTCAGGTTGGTTGTGCACAATCTAAATCAACGACCGCCATCAGCGTAAACAGTAACAAGAACACTGCGAACACTATACCCTCACTTCGGTGACCTCGATGTCAACCTCGCTGTCATTCACTGGTGGCGCTAACGGTAGAAATTTTTCACGCCGTCTTTCGTGTTTACGGCGACGAGACTTCTTGAGTTTGAACGTTTCGCCAGTTTCTACGAAAATAAGCTATTGTTCACAATGCGGAAGAGCAAAACGCCGAACATAAAGTAGGCTTGGGCATAGTTCCATACAGTAACAGCGAATTCAGTTATGCTGTACCTTCTTCTTCCACAGGAAAGCTTAGCAAACTGCTGGAACTAACACTCGGCTTGATGGCGGCAGAGAACGAAGTACCGTTATCGCGGCTGGAGGTGGCCGTTTTGGTACTTGTTCCTGCTTGCGCTGCCACCGAACCTTCTTCATCGCTCGATTCCTCACTAGCGGTCTTCAACCGAAGATTGCGAACCACCCGTTTTTTAAACATTCTTTCGCCGCTGCAGACACGCTCTTCTTTCTGGCAGCTCTCCATCTTGCAATTCTTGAAAGCAAGCAGTGTTTACACATTAATTCTATACCATTCCAGTGCAGTCTCTCATTGAGACCGCGAAGCTCGTTACACCAAAGACTAGTTACAAAACCTCTCAGCACACTATCGTATAAATCTGTGCGAAAAACAGTTTAATCAACTGGTATGTGCTTCGACACAAGTACCGATTAGTACACTGTCATAACATTTTGTCGGACAGCGGACCACATATTAGCCGACGACTTTGAACCGGGTATCATTTAGGATCGAGTAAAAGTGTGTATTACATATTACATCACATGTTCCACAGACAAACTACACCATTAATACAAACAAATTCCAGCAGTTTCAAAATTTTTGTCAGTTACAACAGTTGGAAAGTCATTTCGCGGTCCACTGATGTGCATGAACTATCTTGCACATAACAGCGACAGAGTCTACCAAATATGTTAATCTGGAAAAGCCACGTGCTCGCACCAAATTAGATAAATGTGGCAGCAACTGTATCAGATACCAACAAGTAACTTGCTGCCTTGCGATACCAGATCATTGCGGATTTAGTTCCGGATTCACCAGTGGTTTCACACATAATGAATTTGACTCAAGCAATTGTACAATCTCAAGACAAAAAACTATTTAATAAAATTCAAGTTTGTAACCTTAACCCATATCAGCATAAAAATCTCCTTGGAAAATCTTGATCTCCCCAAACTGCATTCAAAAATATCAGGAGCACTGAAAACATCCCCCAAGTTCTGTGGAATCTCTGCTCGCGTGTATGCATATTCGAATAAAGTCCTTCTTTTCTTGATATAGCTGTCGATAAATGTGACTGTTGTCGTAACATTGTTCTTGCAGTTTAGCTGTCACGATGGTTTTGATATGTCTCCAGGTTAATTTACCAGTCGTGCTCTGTTGTTTCAGTTTGTAGGTGTTGTTCTGATCGTAGTTGTAGGCTAATCCATTTTCCAGGATTTTGTTTGTTTGGTCATCGTTAGAAGAATGTTTGTTTATCAGTCGATTAAGCGGTCAACCCTCCTGAACTATTTCCTGCGTTTCTCAAACGTTTATCCAGCCCAAAGGAATCGGAGAAGTAAAGCACTTCTTGACCTTCCGGTCGCTGGCAGGAATCGCTGGTGCACGGCAGATAATGCCTCCGGACTGTCTCAGCAGCCGCTTCAACTTACAAGAGTAGGCTCTTGTACAACTTCCAGACGCTCAGTTCAGCTGGAAACCATCTAAAATTCATTTCATTTACGAAGGTAATACCTGTCATCGAATAGAGACCTACGTCAACAATAAATCTGTGTGAGAGAAATAACTTAGAAAGGCAGTTTATAGCTTAGAAAGACAATTTCGTATATTGAAATCAATTACACTCACGTGTTAATTAGTTCAAAGCGAGAGTAACTAGGAGGAAATACAAAGCATGTCTCTCAGTAGCGGAATATGGTTCTATGTTCTACAAATTTACTGAATGTTATTTACCTTGACGTTTGCATCGGCAGGTATCAATCACTTGACAATACTACAAATGCAGTTGCATTCCATTTGAAACTAAACTAACGTTCATTTATTTTTGCCGATCTATTCTTGGAGAAGTTGTTTAGGTAAGCTCTGAATAGCTATGGCTTGCCTCCAAAACGTGGTGGAAATATTTTGATGATACCTTTATAATCATTAAAAGCAACAATCCGCCAATTTGCTTCCAGCATGCAGATACTGTTAATTGATAAATTCAGTTAACGATGAGTAATCGAACAAAATAAGCTGATTTTGTTTTTAGACTGCAAAGTAAGCTGAGAAAACAATTGAAAATGATCTTCGGCCTATCTAATGCTTCGGATGTGGCACACAACCTAAATTTAATTTTTTGTAATCCCGCATACAAGGAAGCAGGAGGTGTTGAAAGTTAATTTGACAAAGCCATCGGACTAACGTCAGACTCAATAATGCTTCAGTCCTTTATGTGAAAGACAGTATGCGAACACACGGCTACAGTTAAAAGTTCATGAACATGCAAATGAAGTGCCGAATAAACATGGTCAGTGGATCATAAACGCGATTGGTTACCCATGCCGACTACTCTGCATTCAACTGTATTCATTATTTTAGTAGTGACAATACGTGTGTTGGCAATGGAAAACATGGCGATCCATTTTAAATCAGAAAAAAATAAGTTCTCGCTTACTGAGCATCAAGGACACGATAAAGAGACTAAAAGACCGATTCAATCATATTTTAAGACCTATTCATTCATTCTTGATTCATTGCATGAATCACGCGGAATGCAACTGCTCTATGTTAGTTAAGCTATCAGACAGTTACATACATTGACGGTAGAACGCAAGAATTCGGCGACCACTGTCAATCAAACTGCCGAAGAAAAGAAACATTTGAAAATACGCTCGGAATAAGCTTGTCAAAAACTTTCGACTGCAATTGCGTCGATTTTTAGCGAACTAAGCATAATCGCAAAAGTTGGAGATTAGAGAAAGCGCTTAGATGCCGAAGCGCTTTTAATTTAAAGGACGTTATAAGCATTATGAGATTGTATATCTCTGATTATAGCGAAACTTATGTAAACGTCCGATAAATGGAAAAATTAAACAATTTACATCTTGACAATCAGATATTACTGTATGGTATATACCGTTTGCAGGTAATAAAACCTCGTTACATCAGCCAAAATCTTGGTGATGAGCCAAAGCGTTATTTGCGTTATTAATAAAATCCTAATATCTTGTGCAGATATCAGTTCATGAATCGATTTCGAGTACTTACGTGCATAGAAATGTGAACGATCAATATGGTCGACTAATAAACGATCGATATGGTCGTGCTTATCACGTGACCCAATAACTGATTGGATCATTTGAATGCACGGGAAATATTGTACTGTACTAGAAGTATTACACAAAATTTCAGGTTTTTAAATCGTTAATGGAAAGTACATGAACTACTGAATGTCAGTGATCAGTTTCATTAGTTAACATCCGAACAAATCTAAGTAAGAAGTTGGTACTGGAACTGCACGCTTTTCGCTGATTGGCTAATTTTAAATTTTAAACAGATGGACGTCTGCCGTGAGGTGAGTCTACTCTGCCAGTCTTAAAGGCGATTGGTGGAACGGTGCAGCAACAGCCAATGAAACAGCAGAATCTTATCGCTGTGGAACTCTGTCTAGACGTTTTCAAATTATGAAATCAAAAATGTATTGTTTGTGATTTTGAGTGTGCAGGAGAGTCGCACTAAGTGGAGGGATTTTATCCATTGTATTAGCTGCTTTTCTCTGCGCATTTTTGAACGCTTACAAGATTATTATCTCTCGTTTCCTCTCTTTCTCATTCTCACGTAAGTATTGTAGGATCTCTAATTCATGGCGTTTGTGCAACATTTGTTCAGTTTGTCGAAGTTTTCGGTGACAGAGCATGGCGTCACATTTCTCTATGTTATGTAAGTGACTTATGAGACGAGTTGACCACATTGGAAGTTGTTGCCGGTGCACCGCTACTTTGTAATAGCATAATTTTATTTTGAGGCTGGCCTGCGATTATAGCATAGATGCTGAATTGCATGCCTACCGCTGATTTATTTTGTCTCAAACCTAAATAAGAATCATGAAACGTGTAATGAATCGTATTTTTGAATGCTATCACATTACAGAGTTACCGCTTGAATACCATAAGGTGTCCGTATTGTAGAGTAAGTGTCAAGTAGCGAATGATTCCTCTAAGACCAGATTTCACAACGTATTGCACCGCCTTGCTCATAGTTGCCTAGGCGGCCGTTTAAGCAGATTACGGCTCCATGGTACATCTGCAGTACTAAATGCATCTCGTGTTATTAGTATTATTGTGTCCATTAGAAGAACCTCGTGCTTATCAGCGGTGAGCAAGGAGGCGATGCAATACACCGTGAAATCTGGTCTTGGAGGAGCCATTCGTAATTACAGAGTTTTGGCAGTGTACTTCACTTTTAATGGAAATTGGTAAAGAAAGCAGTCAATGAGAGAGCTTCACACTATGGTTTCCAATGTTTTTTGTTCAAGTAATTCTCATAAACGTCATTTCTCGGCGTCATGATTTTTTACGTAGTGTTAACAATGCTTGTAAACGAGTCGTTAATGTTTGCAATCGCTACCGGTGCTCCGCTACTCTTATCGTAAAGTTGTGTCGTTTTGCGACAGTACCTATAAAGGCGCGTATTTTATGTGCAAGTTTCTTACATAACAGTTAATTCTAAATTTAAGGCACGGCTGCGAAGTTTTTGGCGGTAAAAGTCGTAACGCTACGCTATGACGTCACCGCGCTTCTCGCCTGTCTTCCGTTTTTGGCGGGAACAGGACATTAAACTGCCGATCGCTAGACTAGGGTCGCCATTTCTAATAGGATCATATAAAAACTCAGACAAGTGATTCTCATAGCTCATTGCTGCTTTAACTAAGTATCAGGAGTAAGGAATTTGAAAATTTTCGCTGATGGGAATAGTCGCTTTTTTTGTAGTTGGCTAGTTAGAGATTACAAAAAATCATTTGGCCCCATTAATTTAACATCATTTAAGCAATGATTCGCTCATGGTGCTATGTTACAGATGCTTATTTGTTTAAAGGCATCGGTGTCGAAACTCATCCCTTCCGAATTACGATCTGTTTCTTTTTCTGCATTTTTTTTGCACTGAATTATTAGCAGTATTATTCCATCAGTTGCGCTTTCTTAGTCATATAC